ATACACACACACACTATATATATATAGTCATGCCTGCCTCAATTATCAAATAATTATCAAATAATACAACATGTTTTACTAAAGTCTTGAGGATATTTTTCTTTGCACTACCTCATGTCTTCCAGGGGAAATGGAATCAACCAATTTATGGAAATTGAGTGGAACATAGTAGATGGGGTAGGCAGAGTACGAGCCCCTCAAAGATGTCCAGATCCTAAACCAGCACCCGTGACTGCTCTGGATTACACGGCCCAGGGAATTAAGGCTGCTAATCAGCTCCCTGTGAGAGGAGATGATCCTGGATTATCCGTGTAACACAGGGGTCCTTGTTAGCGGAAGGCAGGGGAGCTGGGAAAGATTTAAAGATGGTGCACTCCTGCCAAGGGCTGCAAAACCTGCAGGAGCTGGAAGACAAAACAGAGTCCCTGAAGCCTGCACAAGGAATACAGCCCTGGAGTTGCCCTGCCTTTGGCCTTGAGAGATCTGCGGCAGACGGGTGACACCAGACTGGACGAGAAAAACCGGGGTGTTGTTTTAAGCCCCTGAGTTTGTGAGCATTTCCTGCAGCAGTGGGGGAAATGAAGTAACTAAATGTGCTAAGCAGGGACCTTTCTGCTCTCTCGTGGCTTACAGTGTTTTCCTCTACACTACTATGGCATCAGTGTGCAAATATTTTAACACAGCGAATTTGCATTCAGGAGAGGGCCTGGAGAAAGGGTCTTAGAAGCAGCTCCAATGCTAAAGTCTTGATTAAAATTTCAAGTTGTGCTGTAGATGAAAGGTTTGCCAGATGCCAACTAATGTGACAGGAGTTGGCAGGAACCTGTGGTCGCCTGTGGGGAAGAGGAAGGCCAGCTGGTGGCATTTGAAAGAAGGACCACTAATTACATCGAGTACACTCTGGCTCTCACTAAGACACAATATGGAATCTGGTGGCTGTACCAGCTCTCAATAAGTTAATTAAGCTGTGACAAGAGTCAAGGTCTTACCACCTCCTGGAGACACAAAAACGCACTACATGGAAAGGAGAAATAAACAGCAGACCTTTCCCCATGCAGCAGTGAAGGGCTGGTGTCAAGTGCCACTGGGGACCGAGGGGTGTGTGGCCACAGTGTGTGCAAGGCGCACTCACCTTGGACCCACAGAATGAGCGCCAAGCAAGCCCATGTGTTGGTGTGGCAACCAAGGCTTGGAGACCCTGAGAAACGGATATTATCACAGAGTTTATGAATGATGACACTAGGGCTCAGCGATGGTATTAAGAGATTTGCCCAAATCCACAAAGTGGAAAGTGTCCCTCTGGCATTCAAACTCTCTTGAAGCATCTTATCACAAAGCGTAGGCTTTCACTCTCCTCCTGACTGCCTGCTGGTCTTACTTGCCAGCAGAATTTTGCCCTATTGCTTATAAAACAAATTCCAAGGGGAAGATGGATACTGATAAACAAAAGCT